CGTTTTTATGGATTAATTGTTGGCACTGACATCTAGCCACTAATGTGGCCAAAACAGGCTACTGGATATCAAACTATTTGTATAATTTATGTATTGATAGAAATAATGGCTATCCTAACATATTTTAGTAAAAGAATGCGCGCATGTAGTCTTGTCACTTCAAGAGTTTGTACAACGCCGCTTAAGCATATTTATTGCTTGTAAAGGGGGAACACAGCTTTGAAGCATATATGTGTGTATTTTTAATAAATAAAGCTATGTTATGTAATAACAATTTCGTGAAAACTTTATGTCAAATGACAGAAAAAACTAATAAAACTATAGACTAGCAACAAGGCGTGGCCATGCCATTTGATTTAACCGGCATTTCTAGGCACATCTCATGTATGTGTCCCAAATCCATTCATTGCCTGTCAAGCTCCAAACACACAAGCTATTGACTTGTGAATGCTGCTCTGTTCTCTCCTATCCAACGGTGCTTCACACTTCTACACCGCTATGCCTACTTTAAGTGGCAGCCTTGGGAACAACGACTTTAGGTCCTGGAATTGCAAATGCGGAACTGGAAGCTGGGTCAGTGACGCTGACAATGAATTTGCTTTCCATGTTGTTGTAAATTCCCGGAATCTTGTAGCCAGTAGGTGCCGCCGTGGCATCGCTCGTAACGTTGACTAGCATGCAGTTTGAATAAAACTGAGGCGCACGGGTAAAATCAGGAGGACTCGCCTTTGTGTTTGATGAAAGGTCAATGATTTCTGTCCGAAGAGTGTAAAATCCAGATGGAACCCAGTCAGGGATGGTCAGATCATAGTTATAACTGTTTGCTTGAATAACATCAGTGCACCACTTGCCTCCAGTATACGCTTGGTCGAATATCTTGAACCAAATTGCACCCTTGCCCTTGGCAGTCGCATTGGCCATAAAAAACGTACACGGACCTATTATTTGCTGTCCTGAAATTGGGGACTTGGTACCTTGAAAGAATGAGAGCGACAGCTTGTCTCCAGCTTTCACCTGGTAAGGAAATGGCCCAGAGTTCAAGCTGGGAGCACGACACATTAGTTCATAGTTATAAGGGTCCATGGCAGGAACCTCAGGTCTCAAAGCACCTGCATACACAGGTGTTGCATCAAATCCATTGGGACCGAACTTGTCAGAAACGGGGCCACGCAAGTAAGTCTGCGCATGACCAACATGAGCAAACAAAAAAGCGGCAGCAACACTTGGCAAAATCCTACTAAGCATTTAAATAAGGCGTGTAGAGCAAACAAGAGGATACAGGTTCTAATAGTAGTATAGAGCGTTTGTAAACGAAAGAGACGGGATTTATTTTTGTAGAAAATTTCTCCTCCTCCATCCCGCTTCTTTTATAAGAGCTGGAGACTTGAGCGAGCGTGCTTGCATGGATTGGTGTTTTTTTCCTGCCAAGTGCTTTATGCTCTTTTGGTTCAATACGTTGAACAAACATTTTTCTTTTAGCAAAAGAAGCGCGTAGGTATTCCGTTGAGAATTCTTTTTGAACTTCTTTCTACAATTGCCAAAACCCCCTTTTGCGCTAACCAAGTATTTGCTTTGTAGTCAAAAGGTCTGTTCTGCTTGATTGCAAAAAAAACCCACCGCATGATTGAACAAAGAAGTCTTGCATGTACGTCAAAGATCCTTCGTTCTCTTTTTATCGCTGGCCTACAAACAATTTTTTTTTTTAGCTCAAAGCACTTTTTGACGCTCTTTGCGCCTTTTGGCGACAAGAACAGACATGGCCCGCTGGCCTCTCCAAAAAGGATAACTGATACATGCTTTACAGCAACATATTTGACAACAATTCTACATTGCAGAACCCCAAGCCTGGTATTAGCGTGGCATCCAACATTCTATAGTCGCAATGTCCATTAACTTGAATATTGCGCGGGAGATGGGGTAAGTATAGCAGGCCTTGCGTAGTTCAGCATTGAGCCAGCAACGCAATTATAAATTGCGTGTCAAATATTTGATGTTGGATTAGCTGTGCTTTGCTTGCACAGCCGCTCCAGGCAGATGGCACACAATTAAAGCCTTGCGGACTAGAGCGGAGGCGAAGCACGCATGGTTGCAATATGCCCCGACCCTAGTAGCAATATACAGCAGCGCCGCGCTCTTTTTGGCGATGCTGAGCTTTTTTTGTTGGTTCTCCGTGCGCGTGACCCGATTCTTGCAACAGGCCTAAGTTGGGTGGCACAAGGCTAAGGGGTGGGAACAGCAGGTCTGTGCGTGGTCAATCCCGATGTTGCCAAAGATGCTAAATTTGCGCGAGATAAATGAGAATGGGCGGCAATGAGATCACTGTTGGTGGCGATTGGACAGCGCAGAGGCTTTGGGATCTAGACGGGAGATGAAGCGCAGTTGGCGGCCAACGCTCCTGGCTCCTTTCTTGCTTCATTTTGTTGATAAAATCCCTTACATTGGCTTTTACTATACTGTTTTGATTGTCTGCTGCTTAGTGAGCTTCTTGCATCGCTGTTGATATGGACGGCACCAGCGTGACAGACGAGTCATCGCATCTGCTACACCGGACATCTGACTGCGCGGTACATGTCAGGCATACGGCGCCTAGCTATGAATCGGAAGCGGGTAGCGGACAGTACGAGCCAACAGGCGCTCTCAACAACACTACTCACGCTGTTTCTTTACGCTGTAATATTGGTAAGCTACCGTCGAGAGCATGCTTGCATTGCATTAAAACTGCCACTTTAAGTGCTTTGTGGCAGGGCTTCGCTTTGCGCCTTTATCGCCCTTTTCGAGCGTGGTCTGCATAAAAGACCCGCACAACACAATGGTGCAAGTGTTCTCTTTGCGTACAGATGCGGCATGCGCCTCTGCCCAGGCCCCTTCTGCGGCCCTCTTTCCTTTGGAGATGGTGCATTTTCATTTTTGTCCGCTCAGTGTTGTTTTATCTTATCCAGGACTGACTCAATAATGCTATGTGTTTGCCTTTTATGCATACCCGACGTCGCTTAGCTGCCAACTGGAAGAGCTGGGTCCAGTTTGTTCGAGATTCTCGCTCTGCCAGCGCTCTGCCAGCCATTATTGTCGCGCTTGCTATCGCGCACTTGCCCGTTCCCGATGGATTGACGGCTACCAGCATGCGGCTATTGGGCGTGTTTGCTGGTGTAATCATGGGGCTACTGACAGCTGACTATGACATGTCCGTCGTGTTGGCCGTAGCGCTGCTCGCTCTGACGATCACGTCCAGTTTCATGTGCACAACCGCCGACGGCCGTCATATTGAGTGCGACAAGTGCCGCTCAGTATATCGTGGCAAGTCAGGGCACTGGCACGAGTACCAATGCGACCCAATTGGCGGCAGCTTTGACGTGGCGATATCAGGGTTCTCAAACAAGGTCGCATGGCTCGTGTTCAGTGCTTTCCACATTGGAAAGGCAGTTGAAAAGGCTGGGGTTGGTCGGCGAGTGTCGCTTGCACTGCTGTCGTACATGGGCCAGTCAGTGGTGGGCATTGGCTATGCAGTGTGTCTGGCAGAGCTGGCACTAGGGCCCTTCATCCCGTCAAACACAGCGCGCGGCGGTGGTATTATATTCCCCATTGTCGAGTCGGTGATTTCCTCTCTGGGTGTTGATGCGGATGCTGGCGAAAACCCCACTGCCGGATTTCTGGCCATGGTTGCTTCGACTGCCAACCTGCTGTCTTCGTCCTTATATATTACTGGCATGGCAGGCAACCCAATTGTCGCCAGTAAAGCAGCCAGCATATTCGGCATTGAGTTTGGGTTTACAGATTGGCTGCTTGGAGCTAGTCTGCCCGTCTTGCTGCTAATTGCAATTCTACCTCCAGCGCTCCATGTCGTACTGCGCCCCCGAGTCGACTTTGCTCAGCTATCTCGCGAAATCCGTCGCCAGCACCTGGAAATGGGCCCAGTATCGCCAGATGAGCTGAAGCTATGCGGGACGCTGCTGGTTTGCTTGGTTTTGTGGGTTGGCTCGCCGCTATTTGGCATTGACGCGACTGTCGTGGCATACGCGGCCATTGTGGCGCTGACGCTCTTCAACGTGCTGACCTGGGACGATGTGGTAAAAAACCACAAGGCGTGGGACACATTTTTCTGGCTAGCCTCGTTTATCGTGCTCGCTGAACAACTGTCGGCTCTGGGAGTCACCGACTGGATTGGCAACTCTCTGTCAAAATCCCTACACGGCGTGTCGCCAATGGCCAGTACAATATCTCTTGCTCTGGTCTACTTTTTTTCCATGTACATGTTCTCGTCCATTTCCAGTCATGTCGTTGCATTTGCTGGGCCATTCTTTGCTGCAGGGCATTTGCTGGGCTGTCCGCCGCGGTTGTTGACTATAATTATTGCCATGTTTAGCTCGCTGGCAGGCGTTTTGACGCCGTTCTCGACTGGCTCTGTTGCCATGTACGCCTCGCGAAACTACATATCTCAGCCACGCTGGTTCATGCTTGGCTTGCTTACGGCAATAGCGATAATAGGACTGACGTTTTCCGTGGGTCTGCTGTGGTGGAAGATTCTTGGCTGGTATTAGCTATATGGTTGCCTATAGATGTTTTGATTACATGTTGTATTTGTATTGTTGGCTAGTGAACTGTAAGCTATTCTGTCTCGCAAACATACCAGAGAAAGAAGGTTTAAAAGTGGCGATAGTAAGCAAGAGTGTGCTGCCAGCAAACAGGCAGACTGCTCTGGTCTGACGGCATATGAAAGCTGCAATTGTCCGAGAGCTGTGGCCATGTCAAACTTTGCAGAGTCAAGTGCGTGTCGGATTAGCTATAGAGCTCGTATCAACAGACTGTAATGCAGGCGTGCTTGGAACTCTTCTATCCACAATTGTGGAGATCCTCGTCTTTGGCTAGAAACATAGAAACACATTTCTTTCTGGAAATGTATGTCGCCAGGTCTTTGTAGGCGCGAGGTACCAAATCGATAAATAGCAGCTAAGCGACATTCGGAGTATAACTCTATACTTTAGCTCGTTTGAAGCTGGGTCGAAAGTCGTGTGACCGAGTTGGTTAAGGTGGCAGTCTTAAGCTCTGAGCGCCCGCCAAAATTCCACTTTGGCTCGCCTCTGGCAGACAACTGCTCTCGTGAGAGATCGTGGGTTCGAATCCCACCGCGACTAGTTTTTAATGCTATTTTTGGCGAAAATTGTCTTGGTGTTCTGTGCGCCTAGAATACCACGACGTGGGTTGGGGGAGGAGATTTCGGCTCCGGTCAGCACCACGCATCTCTTTTGCATTCTTGTGCGCATTTATTCTGCTTTAATTTTATTCCGAATCCATGTGTGGTGCTCTTGCAATTATACGGCGGCAGGCGCTGCCATTTGCCAAAGCAGCTCAATTCGGGCAGAGGGCTTTGAGCACTGAGCATAGGCGGGCTCGCGAGCTCGTAAAGTTTCCCTGGATATGGCCGTCGGACAGGGAGCAGGTCCCTCAACGCGAAAAGTACATGCCGGTAGTGGTACGCAACAGATTCATAGAAAGCCTTTTGCAAAAGGCAGTCCAGATCAGCGCGACATCGTTGGCAGAAATGGCCCTGAGCAAAGCGTACATTGAGCGAGTGCGGGAGCAAATGGTAGAGGTCGTCTTGCGACGTATTGTCGAGGCGATCAACGCTAGCGACTATGATGCTTTGAGCCAGCTAATGGCTCCGCATATAGCCAAAGTCTACAAGCACGCGCTGGCTAATATGAAGGCGCAAGGGTACCAGCTAGACATCCAGATCGGCAATGTCCAGGATCCAAAGCTCGAAGCGCTCGTTGTGTTTCTGGGCGAGCCGGAGTCTCATGATGTGTCGATACCCATCGGCGTGCGCCACAAAAAGTATATGATAAAGCGTTGCAATTCGGTATATCTATCGATGACAAAGCCGACGGGATCCACTGTCAACGAGAAGCCCAAGCAGTGGACCGATTCTGTGTTCACCGAATGGATATCAGTGCAGCTTCGCTTCAACATAACGGCTCAGGTCGAGGTGTCGCTGTTGAGTAGAGGGAAAGCGGTGGACAGCGACCAGGGATTAATGGTGATTCCGTTGGCGCTGAGCACGCCAAGCTATGAGGGAGTTAGACAGCTAGACACGGCAGCTAATGACGGCGAGTCTGTGCGTCACCTAGAGCCGTTCAGGTGGATGGTCAGCGACCTTTTCAACGTCGCGGAAATGACAGAGCACAGAAGCATCATGCAGCTCCAGAACAAAGACTAGCGGCGGCAGCAGTGTTTCTACTCTATGGAATTTATGAATTGGTCATGGATGATAATATAACGGTCTTATAGTAAATGGTAGTGTTACAGGCTGTGTGGTATAGGGAGCTACGTGGTGGCGTAGCGGATAACGGGCAAGAAGAAGCCCAGCAAGATACATGCAGCGGCAAACATGGCGAATTCGGCCCACGACCAGTCATCGACTTGAATGCCAGGCATAATGGCGTAGAAGCGCTTGACCAAAGCGGCGCTGGTCGCAGAGTTGGCCAGCGTAGTGGTGGAGTACTCTTGCTTTTGGTAGCTAGTCGAATAGGCAAATTGCGTGCGATTGTCATAGACATGGGATACTGCTACAAGCGGCGGGCATGCAGCAGGCGGGGGCGTCGGCGACGGTGGACGGAGCGTCGATGTAGTAGACGGTCGGCGCAGCCCGGCCGTGCAGTGGATAAGGTCCTCCATGATTCTGGCCGGATCGAGTTTTCGCCACTACGCAAAGAAAAGCAATTAATTAACAGATGGTTTAGAGAATATTTATGTGCGCCACGTGCGCCCTGCTGCTCGTGGTCAATGCAGGATGGTGGCTTGACGGAGGCAGCGGAGAATTATTTACTAGCGTAGGGAGGAGCACAACTCAAAAAGAGGATTTGCAGAAGTGGTCAAGGATGACCGAGCAAGTCGAAAGGAGACACATGGAGCCTCCGGTGCTGCACTATTTCAGGCGCCCGCAAGTTCTTTGTGGCTGGCTTACCTTTGTCGAGTCGAGATCTTCCGCTTCGTCGGCATCCAGGGCGACAGTTTGAATCAGAAAGCGGTCAGCGGCAGTTATCGGGCTGCTGCTTTTGACAGTGACATCAACAGCCATGCCCATCTTGGTCAGCGAGCACACCACCGGCTTGACCAGGAACTTGTGCGGCGCATTGGTCTTGAACTTGAAGCCCACTGCCTGCTGCTGCAGACTAGTTAGGCGTAGGCGGCTGGTGTACCCGGACCCCGACTCTGTGAACTGGAACTCTGACGGCGAAATTCGAATAAGCGGCAAAGACGGCATCGTGTCCCTCGGTACCAAATAGATAGAGGCAATAGTAAGGAGGAGTGAATAGAGCAGGCGAGAAGGGGGCGTAAAAGTAAAAGGGGTGGACAGGGGCTTCGCTTTAAATCCGCGTTGCGCGGGGGAGAAATAAGCAAGAGCGACTTTAGCGAAACAAAAAAGACCACATGGCCCGAGCTAGGAAAAGAGCGAAGAGTGAGTAGACTCCACGGCCCCCGCAACCGCCGGCCTTTCCTTTATACCCTTTTTGCCGCTTGCGCCTCGCCTTGCCTCCCTCTTCTCACGCCAGGCAGGGTGTGGAGAGAAGGGGAGAGCCGGCATGGTGGGGAGGGCTATTTGGCCCTGCTTTCCCGCGCATGTGCCTGCTTGGCCCCGACAGAGGGACAGTGGTCTTTGGCGGACGCGGGGAAGCTGAAGCGAGATGGAGAGCGCCAAAGGGGCACGCGTGTTCCAATCGACACGACTTGGTTGGCTTAAGCAGCGCCAGGCACTCCGCACTGCATGCTCTCAGCAGCCAATTCGCAGCTGGCATCGGCGCAACGTGGGGATGGTCCCCCTGCAGCAGCGCAGCGCCTTCGCTTTCACGCTCCAGAGGCTCTGGGTGGGTTTGCCATGACGACACTGGCGCTAGGCCCGGATATCACTTCTATTTCAAACAAATAGGATAGGCTCTAGAGCTTTTCAACAGCAGGCGCAAAGCTGCCCGAGGCCACAAACTTGAGCTCGCCTTCGGGGTAGTTGGGGCCGATCTGGCGCACAACCTCAGCGCCCAGCCAGTGGCCAGCCTCCACGCACAAGTCGATGGGCTGGCCCAGGATATGCTGTGCCAGGAAGGCCGCAACAAAGGCGTCGCCGGCTCCGTTAGTGTCGCCAATCTCGTTGCTGGGAACGGGGGCAACGGGGTAGACGCGCACCTCGTCCGAGTCGCTGGTGGCAACAACGGTGCTCTCGGCACCCTGCGTAAACACGACGACACGTGGCTGCGTGCCCGCGCGAGGCAGATCAGCCACGCGCTTGGCAATGGCCTTGATGTCGGCCGTACCAAAGTCAAAGGCGTTGGCCAGCGCAGCAGCCTCGGTCTCGTTGCCAAACAAAACGTTGACGTACGGCAGGGTCTTCTCCACGGCCGGCTTGTAGAACTGCGGCACAAAGGGCGCCGAAATGTTCATGGTGAAGGTCTTGCCGCTCTCCTGCGCGTGCTTGGCCACCGCATCGATGGTTTCGGGCGACACAGTAAAGAAGAACCCTGTAATGTAGAAGATCTTGGCCTGTTCAATCAGCTTCCAGTTGGACGGCTCCGCAATGTGTGCAAATTGGTACGTCTCGGCCGCCGACAGATTGGCCACCATAGACCGGTTTGGCCCAGTAATCAGCAGCGCACACGTGCCCGTCGGCTTGTCCTCGTTTACCATGTAGTTGGTACGAAGCCCCGCCTTCTCGGCTGCGCCCTTCAACCGCTGCGCGTTCTCGTCCGCGCCCACAGCGCCCACAAACACCGCAGAGTCAGCCGGCAGCAGAAGCTGCGCTCCACGCAGCGCATTTTGCCCTGCTCCGCCCGGAAGGAACTTTGCGTCATAGGAGCTGATCAGCGTCGGGAACAGCGGCAGGTGCTCTGGCGATGCCAGGATCGCATCGTTGGCCTTGAGATTGTACTGCTCCAAAAGACCGTCGTCCACCACTGCCGAAATGTCCAGCAGCGGGTTGCAGAACCCAACAAGCGTGCCGCGAAGGTCTTGTGCCATTGTTTCGTTTAGTAAGCTGCCTGGAGTTTGGATTCTACACCCAAGAATGCAATAAATGTCAGCAAATGCGTGCGGCAGCAACTAGCTTGCAAATTACGATACAACACGGGCAGAACACGTACCTGACCTGGGTATTGTCAAAGCAAAATTGCAGATGAGAAATGTCAAAGAGCGGAGGAAGCAGAGGACAGCAATAGGCCCGAGCTGCAGCAGCGCAGATGGGGCTGGGACACCTGCATTGATTTCAGGGCAAGTGGTGATCAAGCACAATTAGTAGCTACAGCTTATTGCGGATTGGCAAGCAAACACTTGCTCTGCAGCAGCCGAGCCTTGGCTAATGCGCGGCACTGCTGCCAGACTAACACTATGCCGCCTATATTGCTTCGAGTGCACATGCCATACATACATTGGGACGACTGAGAGCCCACCCGGGCCTAGACGGAGCAGGGGCCGCCAATCCGTGTCCAAGCAATGGCGCACGGAGCCAGCTGCACTGGCACCCGTGCGCTGCGTTTCCCAGGCTCTGCATTTGCCGCTCCTACCCTGCACATGCCGCTCTCGCGTGGTTTGAGCGGCTGCTTAGAGCAAAGGCAAAACTAAAAGAAGAGCGCCTCTCCTTATGCACAAAGAGCCGCCATGTTTGGCACCTTTGCGAGCTTTCAGCTGGCGGCTCTCCAAAGAGTGCCATTTGGCTTTTCTTCTCGCCACATGTGTACGCCATACAAAGCGAACAGCCCAGCTCGGGCCCGCCTGCCACGCCCAAAGTGCAAAAAGATAAAATGCGATATGTTTGGCCAAGCTGCACGCCAAAGCGCAGGTAGTGCCCCCATCCATCCCCATGTTTGCAAGCCTTGTCTCCGCCTCAGCCTCCTCTCTTCGCTTACAACTCTTGCTCAAGTCTCTTTTATCTGTCAATTTGCTAAAAGCCTCCTTTATTTCATACTTCTTATGCACAAGTTGACTCGACGTACTAGACGCTCTATACTATACACACTTGCTCTCGTAATTGCCTGCACATTCTACACGCTTATGCGCTCTCGCTCGCCCATGGCCTCTGCTACCGTGGACCAGGTCACTGACGGGCTTGGCTCCATGGGTTTGGCCTCGCCGCCCGCATCGCCCAATGGAC